GTGAGCCCCAAAGTCTACAAAGTGCTGCAGTTTCTTTGCCTTCGCCAGATCTTCAATGGCACCTTTGTGAAGCTCAACAAGGCTTCCACTAACATGCTGAGGATTGTGGAACTCTATTGCATGGGGCTCCCTGAATCTAAAGTCAGTGAATGAGCTGATCTACAAGCGTGGCTATGGCAAAATCAACAAGAAGCGAATCGCCCTGACAGATAACACCCTGATTGCCAGTTCTCTTGGTAGATACAATATCATCTGCATGGAAGATCTGATTCATGAGATTTACACTGTTGGGAAACACTTCAAAGAAGTAAATAACTTCCTGTGGCCCTTCAAGCTGTCTTCTCCCTGAGGTGGGATGAAGAAAAAGACCACCCATTGTGTAGCGGGTGGCAATGCTGGCAACAGGGAAGACCAGATCAACAGGCTTATTACAAGGATGAATTGAGGTGCCTGTTCTGGTATTTTTATAATCTGATCAGATAGGGCCCAGCACGGTGGCGCAAGTGGTTAAGGTCCTCTCCTTGCACGCCCGGGATCCCATATGGGCGCCGGTTCTATCCCAGCAACCCCACTTCCCATCCAGCTCCCTGCCTGTGGCCCAGGAAAACAGTTGAGGACGGCCCAAAGCTTTGGGACCCTGCACCCGCGTGGGAAACCCGGAAGAGGCTCCTGGCTTCGGATCGGCATAGCATCAGCCACTGCACTCACTTGGGGAGTGAATCATCAGATGGAAGATTTTCCTCTCTGTCTCTCCTTTCTGTATATCTGCCTTTCCAATAATAAATAAATAAATAAATAATCTGATCAGATAATAAATGTCAACTCCACTGAGATTGAAAAAAAAATAGGCAACATGTGGTTCAAATGAATGTGAAAGATGAAGACAAATCTCCAGTACAACACCTGAAGATGGAAGACAGGCTCGTTCCAGCCCCTCTTCAGGGCCACCCAGCCTTCTGCAGCCTGCCCAGTCTTTGTCCTGGCGATTGGCTCTGTAGAACCTTGGTGAATCCATATGGCACTCATGGGCTGCACTCTGCCAGCCTGGGCCCTGGCCAGAGCCCTCACCCTCAACGTCAGCTCCAGGAAGTGGGACTGGTCACCCAGGGAGCAGCATCCCCCAGGGTCCAGCACGGTACCTGGCATGGCAGCAGGGAACCTCAGCAAGCATTTTACCAAGAGGTATGGTGTGAGTCGACAGAGCCAGGGTCCCTCCCAAGGCACAAAAAGAGGGTGTGTCCATTCCAGACCTCTCCTACTGCTAGGAACTCCCTGGCAGCACAGCTCACATCTCCACATGGCTCCTGGTCTCTGATTTACAGTCCATTTCTCCTTGTTGGAAGACCTCTCTCCCTATTCCCTGCTCTGTCTCTGTCTCTCCCTCTCTCTCTGCTACTCTGCCTTCCAAATAAATAACCAAATCCTTAAATTCAATCAAAGCCTCCCGGAATGCGCATGGCTTGGGAGGAATCTCCTTCCAACACGGAAGTGACTCACCTGGCAGGACTCGCGACATTCCAGCCAACACCTGCTCTCTGCTAGCCTCCTCCTCATACCATTGAACCCTGAACATGTGGTCTGACAGTCCACTCCCACTTACTCACACCCATTCTGGAATCCCCAACCCGAGGGTCCCCCTCTCTATATCCCAGCTTCTTCATTCCCACTTCTGCAAGGGAAGAAAAAAAAAAAAACATTCACACCATGTGGGATTGCTATAGCACATTCCTGAGTAGAAAGCTGCCTTGCAGGAAAAATGAGCAGTGGATCTGTGGTTGCCAATCTAACTGTGAAAATGGTTCTTGACCTCATTCTTCTGATACGTGGTGATCTCTGCGCCTCACCAAGGGACTTGCATGCCAGTGACCTCAACAATGTCAGAAAGGCACTGGTTGTCAAGGGTTCGGTGGGAACTTCATGCATGCTTTTTATTGGCAAGGCGGATATACAGAGAGGAAAGACAGAGAGGAAGATGTTCCATCTGATGATTCACTCCCCAAGTGAGCGCAACTGCCGATGCTATGCCGATCCGAAGCCAGGAGCCTCTTCTGGGTCTCCCACGCGGGTGCAGGGTCCCAAGGCTTTGGGCCGTCCTTGACTGCTTTCCCAGGCTACAAGCAGGGAGCTGGATGGGAAGTGGAGCTGCCGGGATTAGAACCGGCACCCATACGGGATTCTGGCACATTCAAGGTGAGGAATTTAGCTGCTAGGCCACACCACCGGGCCCTCCACTTTCTTTTTTTTAAAAACGTATTTTTAGGGCCTGGCAGCGTGGCCTAGTGGCTAAAGTCTTCGCCTTGAATGTGCCGGGATTCCATATGGGCACCAGTTCTCATCCCGGCAGCTTCACTTCCCTTCCAGCTCCCTGCTTGTGGCCTGGGAAAGCAGTTGAGGACAGCCCAAAGCTTTGGGAACCTGCACCCCTGTGGTAGACCCAGAAGAGGTTCCTGGTTCCCGGCTTCGGATCGGCACAGTACCAGCCGTTGTGGTCACTTGGGGAGTGAATCATGGGACGGAAGATCTCCTCTCTGTCTCTCCTCCTCTCTGTATATCTGACTTCCCAATAAATAAATAAATCTTAAAAAAAAAGGTGGGGGGGGGAACTGGCACCCTTATGGAATGTCACTTTATCCACTCTGCCACAGAATGCTAGTCCCAGCACGTTTTTTAAAGGAGGACATATGGGTCTGGTGCAATGGCCTAGTGCTAAACTCCTCACCTTGAATGCACTGGGATCCCATATGGGTGCTGGTTCTAATTCCAGCAGCTCTACTTCCCATCCAGCTCCCTGCCTGTGGGCTGGGAAAGCAGTGGAGGACGGCCCAAAGCCTTGGGACCCTGCACCCATGTGGAGACCTGGAGGAAGTTCCTAGCTCCTGGCTTCGGATTGGCACTTTATCAACCACTGTGGTCATTTGGGGAGTGAATCATCGGATGGAAGATCTTCCTATCTCTCCTCCTCTCTGTATATCTGACTTTGTAATAAAATTAAATAAGTATTTTTTAAAAGGAGGACATAATGTGAAAAGCTAGTGCCATCCTTTCTGGGATCCTTAGCAATCTGTCACTAGAGCATCTGCCAGAGGCCACGTACTTTGTTCAGATAACCATGCAATGGCATTTCATTGTCATGGCTCCAAGTCGCTCTGATCATTAAAACTGAATCTGGATTAGAGGTACCAAATTTTAAAATGCACTTGAATGGATTGAGTAGGCTAGAGTCACTGCAAACCACTCAGGACCATGAATATTAAAAAAGAAAAAAAGATGCAAATGATGGGAGAGGAGGAAGAGGAAATGTGAGCATGAAGACTGATGGGAACCAAGATGCTTTGCCAACAACACATCTTGGACGTGAGCACATCCATGGACATGCTTATGAAAGTGATCTGACCATTAGGTGTGCCCAGGTAGGCAAACAGCTCAGGAGCCACTGCCTAAAAGTTGTCTGCAGAGTGCAATGGCCCAAATTGTGCATTTTTCCCGATGTTATGACAGTGCAAAAGTGAAGCACACCTACTAGAAACAGTAGCCTAGTAGTTAAAGTCCTCACCTTGCACACATTGGGATCCCATAAGGGTACCAATTCGTGTTCCAACTGCTCCACTTCCCTTCCAGCTCCCTACTTGTGGCCCTGGAAAGCAGTCGAGAACGGTCCAAAGCCTTGGGACCCGGCACTCCCATGGGAGACCGGGAAGAGGCTTTGGATTGGCTCAGCTCCGGCCGTTGCAGCGCTTGTGGAGTTAATCAGCTGACTGAAGATCTTCCTGCCTCTCCTCCTTTCTATATATCTGACGTTACAAAAAAATAAATCAATAAATCTTTTTTAAAAATTGTCCTGCTTTGTCTATTTTATTAGACTGAGTTTGAGGGTAGAGACTGTTTTACTTGTTTAAAGGTATTCTCAGGGCCAGCTCTGGGGCACAGTGGGTTAAGCCAGTGCCAGTATCCAGTGTAGGTGCTAGTTCAAGTCTGGGCTGCTCCACTTCTGATCCAGTTCCTTGCTGATGTGCCTGGGAAGGCGGCAGAGAGTCCTTGGGCCCCTGTACCCAGGTGGGAGAGTCAGATCAACCGTTCACCGCCTTGCTTTGGCCCAAATGAGGAGTGAATTGCAGATGGATCTCTTTTTTTTTTTTTCTTAAGATTTATTTTTATTATTTTTTATTGGAAAGGCGGATATACAGAGAGGGGAGACAGAGAGGAAGATCTTCCGATGATTCACTCCCCAAGTGAGCCGCAACGGCCGGTGCTATGCCGATCCGAAGCCAGGAGCCTCTTCTGGGTCTCCCACGCGGGCGCAGGGTCCCAAAGCTTTGGGCCGTCCTTGACTGCTTTCCCGGGCCACAGGCAGGGAGCGGGGCTGCCGGGATTAGAACCGGCACCCATATGGGATCTCGGGCATGCAAGGCGAGGACTTAACCACTTGCGCCACCGCGCCGGGCCCAGATGGATCTCTTTTAAATGAAAAAAAATACATAAGAAAAATCTACTTTCTACTTCCCAATATAAGTGTTTGGAAAGTTTTGTTATTATTATGTTAATATTTATTTTATGTATTCCCTATTTATACTACTCTATATTTATCCTGTAGTATTATTATTATTACTATTCGGAGTGGGCAGGTCTTCTTTGGCCTTTGAGTTGCAACACACGTGATGTGACGTGCAGCCAGCCAAGAACGACAACAAGCGCTCGGGGCCGTAGGGCACAGGGAAATGACACAGCGGGGACACGCCCGGCTCGGCCGGCTCCTCCCGCCCGGCTCCTCCCGGCCGGCTCCGTCCTCCCGCCCGCCTCGCCCGACCGGCTCCTCCCGGTCAGCTCCATCCGCCCTCCCGCACCTGCCTCTTCCTTCCGGAGAGTCGGGGGCGGGGCCGGCGCGGACCACGCCCCGCACGGCGGAGCGCAGCCCTGCTTTACGGTCGGGAGGACCTGGTCGGCCCGAGCCTTAAGGAAAAGAGGCCGAGCCCGAGAGCCCTTTTGCGGCAGGACGTAAGTGGCGGTGCCGGCGGCGCGACAGCAGCTGGAGGGCAGAGGAGGCGGGTTGGTGTTTCCCGGGCCGAACCGGGTGCCGGGCGAGGGGGCTGCGGGGGCTGCGTGGGGCCGAGCTGAACGGTCTCCCCCACGCCGCGCTGGCATGGGCCAAGGGGAGCGGGGCGGAGGCGGCCCGGGGCAGCTGGGGGCGGCGGGCGGGCCCGAGGCGGGCGGCGAGCCGGCGCGCCCCGATCGGTCGGGGGAGCTGACCCGCGGTCCACCCTGTCCCCTTCCCGCGAACCCGCAGCGCGGCCGGTCCCAGTCCTCGCCATGAGGCCGCAGCAGGCGCCGGTGTCCGGGAAGGTGTTCATTCAGCGAGACTACAGCAGTGGCACACGCTGCCAGTTCCAGACCAAGTTCCCCGCGGAGCTGGAGAACCGGGTACGCAGCCTGGCCTGCCCTTCCCCCTGGGCCTGGGAGGGATCCCGGGGCCGGGAAGGGAGGCCAAGGCCAGGGGTGTGCACCTCCGCGGAGGGGCACGGGAAGACTGGGGCCGAGGTTCTGTATGCCCGGGACCCCGGCTCCACCCCAGGTTACTGCAGGGACGATGCCGCGCAAATGCCTGAGGCTGCCCGACCGCCTCGCCCCGTGGGCTGTGAGCCGTGTGCTGCTGCCTCGCCATTCACAAGTCATCAGATGGTCACTGCCGAGGTGTGCCCCGACAGGAACCTGACCAGCAGGGATGGAGCCGCAGAGCGACCGCCACTGCCCTGGGTCTCCAGCTGGTCCCTCCTAGGCGTGGTCGCTGGGAGGCACCTGTTGTTGTGGCCTGTGTCACACACCGGCGTCCTAGGAGTGGATGCTTTGGCGGGTCTGGGGAACAGGTTTCTTTGCGCTTCGTTCAGGGCTTATTCAGGTGTCTTAGTTGTAAGGATATATCGTGCTATAGAGACTTGACCTGAGGGGAGGTTGTGTGCTGGGGATTCACCGTCACTGTAACTGGAGACTTGTGGGGGGGGGAGGGGACAGCGTGCGTTGAGGTTTCCTTTTCTTCAGTAGTGGATTCCTGGTTAGCTGGGAGCAAGTTTTGTGGCTCCCGGTGCTTTAGGCATGGGGAGGTGATATAGCCAGACATGGTGAGTCTGTAGAGAAACATGTGACCCTTGCTCAAAGTCTGCAGGGCAGTGCAGCTTAGATATCTGTAAGTGTGCATTAAAGGCCTTGCACGCCTGGGCAAGGTGGTATGGTGGATGGGCCCGTAAAAGGTGCATTTGTGTTGTTGTAAGTTAACTCAGCGTTGACAGATGGTGGACCCGTGCACGGGGGTTTGAGGAGGAAGGGAGGGAGCAGGTGGCAGCTTGCTGAGGCTACTGCACGCTGTTGCTGAAATGCTCAGACACCACCTTTAGTGTGGGGCTAGGGAACCTGTGAATTGCATTGGCACACCTTCAGGTCAGAGTGTCTGTTTTTGTGCAACTCCTTGGATGGACAAGATTCCTTTGTCCATAGGTTTTTGTTGTTTTTAAGATTTGCAAAGTTGGATTTACAGGTTGAAGGAGAGACAGAAGACAGAAAGGTATTCTATCCGCCGGTTCATTCCCCAGGTAGCCTCAGCAGCTGGAGCTGAGTGATCTGAGGCCAGGAGGTTCTTCCTAGTCCACTGTACAGGTGCAGAGTCCCAAGGTTCTAGGCCATCCTCCACTGTTTTCCCAGGCCACAAACAGGGAGCTGGATGGAAGTGGAGCAGCTGGGATATGAACCGGCATCCATATGGGATCCCAATATGTGCAAGGCAAGGAGTTTAGCCTCTAAACTACTTCACTGGGCCCTGTCCATAGGTTTTGAAGTCAGAATTTGTCCTCAGTTGGCCAGGTGTCGGGGCGAAGGCAGTGAGGACCTGCTTCTTGCTGAGTACAGAGTGTAGGCTCTGGGTTCCCCTGGTCCCTGGGACAAATAGATGTTTCTAGATTCTGCACTCCTTGTCACTTGGGCTTCCTTTAGCCCTGAATTGGTTGTGGTGCAATGTCACACAGTGCTTTTGACCACATACTCACCTTGTTAAATGTTTGGGTTAAAATACTAGCTTGTGTTTTTAGCCACTTGGAAAAGCTTTGATTGTTTTGTGTTTTGTTGTTTCTTTGTTGAGAATACATTTCAATTGCAGGTTCATCTTTTCCCCCTCCTGCTTGCTTTGTCTGTCTCTTCCTTAGCTGGTACTATTAGGGTTGCTCCCCCACTGGGGCTGAGTCTCCTGGTGGGAGAACATTGGGCCAGGCAGCTTGAGGGAGGAAGAACCCCATATCCCCGTGTTCTTTGTGCCTCAAAGCATTAGGAAGGGTGTAGGTGCCCATCCAGACCCTTCCGTCAGGGAGGGAGAGCTGGGGTTCCGTTGGCAAGTTCCTGGAACCCAGACCTTGCATGTTCCTAAGTGACCATGTTTTGCCTTCCCGGGGAAGCTTTGCAGTCTGGGAACAGTGAAGATTCGTGTTTGGGCCTCATCACCAGTTCTAACCTGAAGGAAGCCAGGAGTTTGTGGGTAGAAGCTTGTGGCTTTGATGCATGAAACTCTTCTCAGGTCACAGTGGAACTGGAAAGTCCAATGTGCTTAGGGCTCTGCAGCCCTTTGTGGAAACCTGCAGCCATGCCCATGTCCCTCAGTGCCTGCTTGACCCAGGTCTGTCTCCAGAAGAACTGTTCCCAGGGGATCAGTCTCGGAGGAGGGGTGTCCATGAGGGCTGTACCCCTGTTATCAGCCATCTCCCCCACCCAGCTGTGAGTGTTCTGGGAGACAGAGTAGGGCTGCAGCTTCAGAGCTCGTTGCAAACCTTTGGCAAGACCAGCCGGCCTGTGAAGTCTTGCTAGCTTTCCACACAGAGATGAAATTAATTACCACGGCTTCTAGCCCACTGTACCTTTAAAAATTCTGCTCTTGGGTATGCTTTGTTTCTTAATGTGTCTATTGTTGTTAAGTCTATCTCTATGTAAAGAAAGACTTGATCAGAAAGAAAATTCCTAAGTAAATAGTTATAAGTTTTAAAACAGTGTTTTGTGAGAGAAGGCTGCCTGCAAGAATGGCAGTATTAAGGTGACATATGCAAGGGCAGTTAGCATAGGTGCTCGCTTCAGCAGCACATACACTAAAATTGGGATGACACAGAGATTAGCATGGCTTCCTTGCCGGCATGAAAAAGTTTGAAGAAACATGGAATAAAAGGTAAATTTATTCTGGTATAAAACATTGTTGAATGACATGCATCCCACATAATGGGTTTCAAAATGTTTTTACACCAAAGTAAGTTTACTTTTAATTCCATGTTCCGTTGACTATTGAAAGGACCATGGCATTCCACAGCCCTTCCTTGAGAGTCCCAGGATGGTGTATGGAGGCTTCAGTCAGCAAAGCCTTTAGAAGACAGTGAGAGCCGAGTGACAGCAGTTGTGGCAGCAGGAGGACCGTGCATCTCCATTTGCGTTGGACTGTCAGACTGCGAGTTTGCCCCGCAGTGTGGGGTCTTTGCTTCAGAAGAGACTGTGAGCCGAAGGCAGAGCGTGCACCTTTTTGTCCTTCCCTCCGAGCCGCATACATTGCGGTGACTGGGTCCTAACTTTCAAAATCTTTCTTCCCTCCAGATTGATAGACAGCAGTTTGAAGAAACAGTCCGGACTTTGAATAACCTCTATGCCGAAGCCGAGAAGCTGGGGGGCCAGTCCTACCTTGAGGGCTGCCTGGCCTGTCTCACAGCCTACACCATCTTCTTATGCATGGAGACTCACTATGAGAAGGTAAGGCTGCCTCCATGCCCATAGAACCCCAGGATGATGGAGAAAGTAAAGGCTGCTTGTGCTGTGTGTGTGTGTGATACCAGCTGTCATGGTGAAAATCGCACACACTCGTGTGTGCCCCTACCATGGCAGCCCCTACCATCACATCTTTGATGTCATTTATAACATTAATCATCTGGGGAGAGGAGAGGGGACAGCTGCTGTCAAGGTGAAGGTCACGCATGCTTGTGTGTGCATGGCAGTCCCTGCCATCAAATCCTTGTTGTTGTTTATGATACTAACTGTCCAAGGGCTCGTGTTGCTCTTTGGTCCCGTTCCGCATCTTAGCAGCAGGTGCAGGTTGGTGTGTTCTACCTGGAACTGCCCAGCAGTGCTGGGTGGAGAATCTGCGTGCTTGCCTTTACTCAGCTTTCCTAAACGTCATGCTTCTGTCTTCAGGCTTACCCTCCAGCTCAGCCCTAGTCTTTATCCAGCAGCCTGAAAGGCTGAGAGTAGCTGGTGTCTCCCGGTCTCCTGACATAGCACCGCTGCCTTCTCAGGACCTTGTGCAGGTGTGGGAAGGGAAGCACAGGGCCACGCTAACCGGCTGTCAGACCCAAGCATCTCCACCACCTGCTGTTGTTAACTTCGCCTTTCCTCTGCCCCAGACTTAGTGTGTGCCTTACATCTGTGCCCTGGACAAGTACACCCATTTCCCATTGCTTCCCTGCTGCTGTTTTCAACTACCCTCTTCCCGCAGCCACCCTGCCCGTCTTGCCAGGGGCTGCCATGTAGTGCACGCCTGCCTGGACTGTCATCCAGCTCGCTCTCCCCCCCAGTCCAGCTTGTTGACCAGTGGGCACTGTCTGGGTGGTTCACACTCCCATGGGCCCTTGCCTCCCGCTTCTGTCTCACTTTTCCTTACACTTGTAATCAGAATTCTTCCTCTCTTCTGCCCCTACGGTATTTTTTTGTAAGTCTGTTTTCTGACCCTTGGCACTCTACTTGGGAATGTAGCAGTTACCGTTCCTGTGTCACTTGCCTTCCAGTGTATATTCTTCTTAAGATGAAGGACAGTGCACTAGCCATTTCTTATGCTTCTTGATGGTTAATACGATGTGTTGGTTATACTGTTAGACCCTGAGTATGTGCTTGTGAAGCCCTAGTGCATCACAACTTCCTGACACTGTTTGGAAAGTTAGGCTGCATTACCCTTCAGCTGTGGTCATCTGTGGAGAGCAGCGGCAACTGCTGCTAGAACATTCTGAGCCGGAGGCTGACGGTGCTGTTGTGTGCTCCGCTAGCATCCCAGCGTGTATCTGATCGTCACTGTAATTCTACCTCAGAAAGGGTGTATTCAGATAATTAGCAGTTCATATCCTTCTCCATACAAGAGGACTTCAGAAAGCACACGGGGAAATGGAGTAAAAAAAAAACGCTGGTGTCAGCGTAAGTCCTATTTGTTTGGGATACTGGGGGGCCAGTGGTGCCAGTCATTTAGGAGGGGCTGGAAATGCCAACAGGTCAGGGCAGTGTGGTTTCTGTTTTTGGTTAAGGAAAGTGGCTGCCCTTTCAAGGTTTCAGATTAGGAAGCATGGAGAAGTCCAGGGAATCCAGGCAGGACCTGAGGTGGGTGCCTCAAGATTCCCCCCAGAAACTGGCCAAGGGGCCTGTGTGTGAATGGGATGGTTCTCGCGGTAGATGTTGCCTGGCTCTGATCTCGCTGGGGCTTTGACTCACTCTCAAAGCAGTAGTGCCAGGAAGCAAAGGGTGTTCTCTGGCCTTCCGGAAAAGCCAACAAGCAGAATACCCTCTGCATCCCTTACCCTGTGACCATGACCTTTACATTTTTTTTTAAAGGTTTATTTTTATTGGAAGGTCAGATTTACAGAGAGGCGAGACAAAGAAAAAGATCTTCCATCTGCTGGTTCACTCCCAAGTGGCCGTAAGAGCAGGAGCTGAACTGATCCAAAGCCAGGAGCCGGGAGCTTCTTCTGGGTCTCCCACATGCGTACAGGATCCCAAGGACTTGGGCTGTCCTCGAATGCTTTCCCACATCACAGGCAAGCGTGGACAGTGAAGCAGCGGTGCATGCAAGGCAAGGATTTAGCCACTAGGCTATCGCGCTGGGCCCAGTCCTCCTGTTAACTTTCAGAATCAAGTTAATGAGGACCAGTATGAACTTTCAGTCTGCGATTTTGTGTTAGTAGTTTCTCTTTCATAATCCATTTGGTGAATGAAAAGGCCAGGAGAGTCCCACGTTTGGTAATCCTTAATGAAAATCTTCTCTATGCCGAGCTGTTTACCCGGCAGTTGACTAAACAAGGCAAGCATACTTGCTGGCCTTGTGGAGTTTGTAATTTAGTGCTAACTGCTGATAATGATAAGGAGACCCCCTAACAAACTTGTACACTGTGGTAGGTGCCTGAAAGGGGGGTGGGAATCTGCCTCCTGATTCAGAGTGGAGCAGTGGCACTGAAGCTGCCAAGCAGAAGACTGAGCATGGGCCAGGGCCTGGGAACTCGGCGAGGCCGGGTGACAGGAGGGCCAGAGCGACCGGAGGCCCACTGGGGGCAGGAGGGCCAGAGCAACCGGAGGTCCACTGGGGGCAGAAAGGCTGGTGTGGCCAGAGGTCCACTGGCAGCAGAAGGCAGGACTGCACCAGGAGGCTGCCCTTGTACCCTGGACAGAAGGTGAGGGTTTGTTGTCTGGGCCACGGGCATTCACTCCCAGGACTTCAGGCAGGAGGGGACTGCTGTTCTCAGGGAGTTCACCGCCAGTTGGCATGCCTGCCTCATGGTGGAGTCCCTGGGTTTGAGTCCCAGTTCCACCCCAACTGCAGCATCCCTAAGACGCCACAGGTGATGGCTGGAGTCGTCGGGTCCCTGCAGCTCCCCAGGAGAGTAGAGTGAGCTCCCAGCTCTAGGTTTAGGTTTCAGCCTGACCCAGCCTTGATCTCTGTGGGACGAACGCCCTCTGCATAGTGATGCAGTCTATGGGAGCACTCTGTCTCCACCTCTCCAGTGAGTAAGTCAAGAAGCAGTTTTTTGTTTTGTTTTGTTTTGTAGCAGGATTTTAATCAGGAGAATGAAGTGGTCAGATTTTTGCTATAAAGCACCCATTTGTTTTGTGAGAGTGGCTGTATGGAAACAAATCAGGATGTTGTCACAGAAGTCCAGGTGGTACCTGATGGCTGCAGGGGAAGAGGGATGTATGGATGGGCAAGCCAAGGCCAGCGGGGCCCTGAAGGCAGCGATCATCCAGAGATGGTGACCTGGAGGGGGCTGGGGCATTGCCTGTTCAGGAGCTGAACGTGATGAGCTGGGACCCGTGAAGTTAGCCGAGATGGTGATAACTAAGATGCAGCATGCGTAAATGCTCCAAAAAACACTTTCAAAACACGCATCCATGTTCTTGATGAAAGTGTAAGACCTGCTGCCTCTCCCCCCCAGGTTGTACCCCAGAAATCTGTTTCTTACTTGAGTCATTTAGTCACTATTGTTTTAAACACTTAAAAATTTCCAGTCTGAAAGCACTAAACCAACTATAGTAGTGCTTACACTTTGTCACGTGAGAGAGATTTTCTGAAATTGTAAATAGGCCCTTTAAGTCTCACTAGGACAATCATGCATTTTTCCGTATAATGTGCTGTCTGTTGATTCCAAAGATAAAGCCCTCAGTGTTCTTTCTCCATTGTTGCTCCCCATTACGTTTAGGGGACAGTGGGCTTGTGGATGGCTCTCCTCAGTGGCCGTCTGCCTCACCCTTCAGCCATCCACCACAGGTCGCCCTGAGGGACCGGGTCCCCCTGCTCTTACTGGGCCTCACACTCAGGGAGAGCAGGAGTCTTTCCTGAGTGACATAATGCCCCCTTTTGTAAATATTGTACAAGTGGAGGTTTTGGGTGAGAACTGAGAGTAACGGTGATGGTTTTGGTCGGTGTTATGGCTTGTTGTGACCCTGATCCATCCGAGAAGAATGATAAAACTTGCCTACCCCGTCAGCATCAGGTGCCATGGGGTGAGAACGTGTTAGTCCCTTCTGGACTACAGTGTGCGTTCCCTTGTGGAGCATTCTTCTAGAAAGAGTTTGCAAGCATTTCCTTTAGGACAGTGTTGCCTTCAACACAGGGGAAGAAGATTTGGAACTCATGCAGAAAGACAACTAATTGTTTTCTTGTGAACTGACACCCAAGTACACAAGAACAATCCGAAAGTTTAAAAAAAAAACCTTGGCCAAGGAAAGCCAGCGCAGGAGCAGGAAGGGTGTCCTGATGGAATCGTTTCTTTGAAACCAGTCATGCAGGCATCTTTCTGAGGGAGACCCCAGTATCAGTGAACCCCAGCTTCTGGGGCAGCTTGGAAGGAAATGGAAGTACAGGTGGAGAATTCCGCCTGGGGACGGGGCACCTTGCCGGGCTGCTGTTCCTTCTCTTGGGAGAGTGCCAGTCTCCAGTGCCCAGCAGCCGTGCTGGGGTTCTGCTCATGAACACCAGGCAGTGCTTGAATGCTCTGGGAGCGGAAACGGGAGTGACTTGTGCCTTGCTTTGGGTGATTAGGTAGAAAACCCTCCCCTGTAGAAATACGATTCTGGAAGCCGTGAAGCGTTCTCTTCAGTCCACCCCTCCAGTGGGAGAGGGTGTGAGCCCCAAAGGCAGAACCTGAGCACACTGTGTCACTTACTCACAGTGAGAAAACCAGTCCCGTAGATCCCTCCGTTCTCATCAGTGTGCCCTGGGCATCTAAATTGTGCCTTCCCCTTGGTCGGTGTGCCCTGGTGTCTCAGGTGCCCAGCTCTGAAGTCGGCTTCGGTCTGCTTCAGCTCCAGCCTCGCTGCCGTGAGGCGCTCCTTCCCCTTCCTCTGTGCTCACGTTGGTGACTGACTGTCTTGTGCTGCTAGTGTGAATTTAAGGAAACAGCCGTTTACAGAGCTGGATCAAAGCCTCTTTGAACATTGCAGCCAGAAAAGGGTTATGATGACTCCAGCCTGAAATGAAACATGGGGCTCTTTGATTTCGGATATAGCTACCAAGATTTATTTTCTTCCCGCTTATCTGTCCCTGAATTGCCCTTAATTAAAGCTGGAGATTTGGCAATTTCCAGAAGTTCCTCTGGATGCTATCTGGTTTTTGTCTGCGTTTGCTTTGACTTTCACAAGCTTAATGCTGAACTTCTAAATGGAGGCCAGCTGCAGGGGCTGCGCGGGAAAGCAGCTCTGGCTGTGCAGCGGCTGTGCCACCTTGTCTGCAGGCTCGGCTTGGCATTGGCATGCCTGGGCAAGAGGGGGAGAAAGTCTCCTGTGTGAAAGGCACAGCCAGCAACCGTCGCTGGTGTGGGAGAGAGGGACCACCGTGTTTAAGGGGGCTGTGAGGCGGGGGTGGAGTCCTGGACCTGAGGGGTCTTCCCTGCTGGGCGAGCTGAGAGGTTCTGACACTCACGGGGGGGATTGGGTGCAATCTGTTTCACAACAGAACTGGTGGGTTTTTTTCTAATCTCATCAGGTTCTCAAGAAAGTCTCCAAGTACATTCAGGAGCAGAATGAGAAGATCTACGCTCCGCAAGGCCTTCTGCTGACAGACCCCATCGAGAGAGGACTTCGAGTTGTATCTTTTTAGTCTGGCCTGGGGAATATCAGTGTGGCTTGTGTACTGGCCTTTCGGCAAGCTTCCTTGAGGCACACTCCTCCCCCTCCCTGTGCAGCCCGCGACCTCCAGACAGTTTAGGGTTCTGCTTACCATCTTCTGGAGCATCATATGGCCCTAGCGGGGCAGTGTGAGGACTGTGCTTCAGCTGCAGACCCTCCAAAATGTGTAAACCCACCCTGTGTGGGGAGACTTGTCATCCCGACGAAGTGCAGCCTCCCGGGGTTCAGCCATCAGGCTCCTGTCTGTCGCAGCTGCCACATGTATGGTTTCATTACCTTTGACACACGGTGCATATTTTAGAGGCAGTAAGCTTTGAAAATCACTGCTCAAATTTAATGAAGAGAATTGCCAAAAAGAAGAAAGACTAATTTAGTTTGATAACTGAAGTAATGGGTAGATAAATTTTTTTTAAAGCTGAGGTCGCAGAATCACAGGCCTTGTGGCTGATGATTATTTTAGCAGCCTTATTGCACTGTGAAGCACCTGTTCTGAAGCTCCAAAGGGTCATGAACCCTCTCCCAAGGAGGGAACAAAGCTTTCCCATCATTCCACATCCTTGTTTTAACCTCTGAATCTGTCACCTCGTAGATCCTTGGCTAAGAACCCCTTAATTCTGCATGGAAAGCAGCCATTTCAATTGCCCCTTACACTCCCCTCTCCCCCGTGCCCCGCCACACACACACACACACACACACACACACACACACACAAAGCACTAATCCTTAGAGCTCTTGTATGTGGAATCCAAAGGTGCTGTGAAAAGTCCCCAGAAGCTGTGCATTCTGAACCAACCACGTGGATTCAGAAGTTCCTTCCACCAACATAAACTTAAGCTTTCACATTTGCAGGAACTTGGTGAACTGCTACAAATAGTGACAGTTTTTAAATTCCCAGAAAGCGTGTAGAGCAGGCAGAGTTACCATGTGTAGCTCCAAATACTGAAACCTAGGTCCTGGAGACAAGCTGGGGTGGGGCTTGTTCGTGCCGTGCTCTCCTGTGTACTTTCTTAACAGCCATGCTGTGTAGATTGAAATTACCATTTATGAAGACAGAGGCCTGAGCAGTGGAAGATAAACCCTCCAATGTAAAGGTAACTGAGCGGGATGGCTTGCCTGCGGTTTCACAGTACGTGTCATTAGGTCATACAGGCAGGCAGTGGTTGCTGCCCACCGTGCCCGCCCAGCATGGGAAACAGGAGTGTGACCCATATCACCATATGTTGTAGATTGGTCTTGTTGTGTTTTGTGTAAGGTTTTTATTTTATTTTTATTTAAAAGGCAGATCCACAGGAAAAGATCACCTATCCGCTGGTTCAGTCCCCAAAATGCCACAACAACCAGAGCTGAGCCAATCCACAAGCAGGAGCCAGGATCTTCTTCTGGGTCTCCCACATGGGTGCAGGGTCCCAAGGCTTTCCCAGGGTCTCTACTGCTTTCCCAGGCTACAGCAGGGAACTGGATAGCAAGTGGAGCAGCTGGGACATGAACCAGCACCCATATGGGATGTCATTACTGGAAGATGGGAGATTAGCTAATTGAACCACAACGCCAGCCTGAGAAGTTTGTTTTGTTCTGTTTTTACTATTTAAAACTAGCCCAGAAATCGAAATTGGGTTTTGCATAAATGAATCAGTTCAGAACTGCCCATGCCTCTATGACAAATAGCTTTAATAAGAGGGATGTTTTGCAGCAAGTGGCCATTTGACATGTTGCATCTCGGCAGCCTTGTGCAAGAGGCCTCGCCTCGTAGGTGGATGGCATGTTGCATTCCTCTGTTTATGCTGACGTGGCGGGCTAGTCATTGAGAAACAGACCAGTGGGTAACAGGAATAACATAGGCATGCTGGCCTATGAATGCATTGGCATAGGCTTGTCAGTGACAGAACCCAGTGTTTTAGAGGTGGGCATTGGCACGGGGGTGAAGATACCCGAATGTGTCAGCAGAGTGCATGGGTTCCGCTTACTGCCAAAGCTCAGCCTGGAGCCCAGGTACCTGGGTTCGCACAGCATGTTGATGGGCGAGCTGGACTGGGTTCCTACCTTTGGCCAGACCCAATCCTGGCTGTTGCAGGCATTTGGAAAGTGCACCAACAAGTGGCATGTTAATCACTTAATCTCTCTCTGCCCTTCAAATAAATAAGAATGAGTCACTAGTTAAACCACCATGTGTGCATGTGTGCTGATAAGCAGCACAGTTTGCTATGACGAGGGCTCCTACTCTGAATATATGCCCGGCGCTATGCAAGCAGTACCCCCACCTCTTCAAGAACCCCACACAGTGGTCCTCCCCTCCAGAGATGAGCAGGCTATGGTGAAAACAGTAACCAATGCTCTCAGGGTCCCACAATTCATGAGTGGCCAACCACGGACCCCTGTTTTTGTGTTTTGTTTTTTAAGATTTATTTATTTTTTATTGAAAAGTCAGATATACAAAGAGGAAGATCTTCTGTCCAATGATTCACTCCCCAAGTGACCACGACGGCCAAAGCTGAGCCAATCCAAAGCCAGGAGCCAGGAACTTCACCTGTTCTCCCACGCAGGTGCAGGATGCCAAGGCTTTGGGTCATCCTCGGAGCTGCTTTCCCAGGCCACAAGCAGAGAGCTGGATGGGAAGTGGGGCTGCTGGGAATAGAACCGGCAACTGTATGGGATCCCAGCTTATTCAAGGTGTGGAGTTTAGCTGCTAGGCCACCATGCCAGGCCCCCATTCTCCATTTCTTGATGCCATACTTTACTGCAGGTTCCTAGAGTAGCAGGCACTTGGAGAGTTTGCTCAGATGATTCTAAGCATCTTCTGTCTTTCTCAGTGTCTGTCCCTGAGGACAGACAGTGGCTGAGGAATGTGAGCCTTGCCCCCCTCCCAGGCTGCACCCTAAGGCACTAGTGAGGACCAGGGTTCTAACTAGTGCCATCCCCTGCTCCAGATGCTGCCTCTTAAGGAAGCCACATTCGGAGCATGAGTGTGACTTCATCATTCAGGGTTTCCAGGCTGCCTGAGTTGTGCCTGGTTTGCTCAGCTGCAGCCGCACCCCCATGGCTGCTTGGTGGAGTGCCTTGCTGAGGTGGCACAGGGCTGGAGGCGAGGCCACGCCCCAGGCTACCCTTTCAGCAGTCAACAGCTGGGAGCTGGGAGCTGGCAGGTTTACATTAAGAACTCTGGACAATCTCATGAATACAAATATTTTGGTTCAACAAGATGTCACTTTCAGAGCTAGATGTTTCTTGAGTCCAGGAAGGTGTGGACTGAGGTCTGGGGGCAGGTGAGGGGCGTGCCTAGTAAAGAGTTACACGTTCAGCTCTCCCACAGCTTGCCCAAGCTTTCTGTGGGGATTGGATGGGCAGTTGAACAGCAACATGACTGTGCCATGGGATGGCCTTTGTGTTTCTAAAGAAAAAAATAAAACTATAAATAGCAAGATTTTGTTCTTTTTAAAAAGTTTTGATTTTTCAGTATATTGTGTATCTGTATTAGTGCCTGCTTTGTTTATTATACATTGATGATGTTTTCTCAGTCTGTAAGATTATTGTCTTTCTGTTTAAAAAAAAATGGAATATGTGCTTATTCTGTCACAGTAAGCTGGTGGTATAAAAATAGCTACCATTGGTTGGTACTTCCCCAACCAGTGCTGTTCTAATTACCGGATGTTGATAAGGTACTCAGTTGATAAGACTTCTGTTTGCCCGAGGTTCAGGAGCCAGCAGGAGCTGTTGAAGCTGCCTGGGTTTGTGTTCGGTGCCTCCCCTGCCCATACTCCCTCTCTTAGGACACTTGGTTAGAGACTCAGACAGATAGGACCTGGCCTTCCAGACTGGCAGGCCCCATGCTCATCTATACTCAGTGCAAGGCAGGATCCGAACTAGGAGCTGGAACACTGGGTCGGTATGGCCTTGCCCACGCAGCCCAACGCTTTTGCGTTGGCAGATGAGACCACTTGTAGATGTTTGTGTTCAGCATCCTTCTCCAAACTTTGGCTTTCCCCTCTGCCTGCAGATCCCCCTGCAGCCGGCCGCCCGCGGAGCGCCCCCGCCCTCCTCCAGAGCATCATTCCTCGTACCTGCTGCCGGAGCCACAGTGCCACTCACTCCCAGGACTGACCTTCTCCAACCCCACGCCTGGGGTGATTCTAGGCGCTCAGCAGCCACTCGGTGTCTCCCCGTATGTAGGACTGTGGAATCTTAGTGATTAGTCTCAGAAAAAACAATGAAGCGTGTCCGTTTTTCTAATTTGAAGCCATTTACTAAAACATGCATGTGGTCCACCCAAAGCCAGGCTTATTTCTTGCCAGACTCGAATACAGTGGGCTATGCCTAGGCCTTGGGCCAGTTCCCAGGTAGCCCAGGATGTGGGCGAGCCGTGTCTTGGCTGGCATACAGACCTAGGCCTCCAGGTGGACAGAGCAGCTGCTTTCGGGGTCCTGTGGGGAGTGGAGCGCTCCACAGCTCACCACCCAACGCCTAGTCCTGCTGTTCAGTTCCTGGAATCCAAGCTCCTTGAGAAAATAATGTGTAACAATGTTTATCTTATGAGAACAGTTGTTCCTAATTAAAGCAGTATTTAATGCAGTCCCCAGAACCTTGGAGCATCTTTACATTACTGTCGCCTCACCCTGAACACTGGGAAGACATGGCATGCATCGTTTGTTCATGACCAAAAGAAATAAGCACAAGAAAGTGGATACTGAACCGCCAGACACGTAGCAGTCCCTGCTGTGTCCCCCGAAGGTGTAATGAATCTTTAATGATAGTTTGTTATAAATATAACTTATGAGAAGACAAAAGTTTGGTAGGACTGAGACCATTGTTGATTTGTACCAACCCCTCATGGACAAATCCAAGGAGCCAGGGATGTCTGTCACAGTATTCAGTGTGCAGCGCCTTCAGGATGGGGTGGCAGCCAGGGGGCCCAGCTGGAGCCCTCCCTAGGCCACACGCTCAGCCCCGCAGCTTGCTCTGCCCTCCTTGGGGGCTCTGGAGCCTGGCCTCTTGGAAGACAGGTAAGCAGGACAAGGACGGGAGAGACGGAAGGCAGTGGAAGGTTCCCTCTCAGATGCTGTAGGTGCTAATACTGGATCTAACCTTTCAGATCTCCATTTCTCCTCTGGGTCCGTTGGTTCCTCAGTAACACCCCCCTCCCCTCCAGTCTGTAATACTTTAATTGTACAAAACTCTTGTGACACTTCACAGCCTGTATTAGAACGTCTGTCTGCCTTTTAAACCCGTTGCAATAACTTTGCCGAAATATTAACACGTGAGTAAAACTTTTCTTACAGAGACTGTCTCTGTGTCGTTAATTTGGATTGATGGGTTAAGTAGGATTTCCGGCACTGTGCTTGGCTCCGCAAAGGCAGTCAGTGCTGACTAGCCAGCTGTTGGGGGCAGGAGGAGGGGAAGATGGCCAGGTCTTGGACCCTCTGCAGCCACCCCTCAGGGTAGTGGCTGCCATGGCCTTGAGCGCAGTGAGGTCCCTCTTGCTCAGGGCCGTTCCTCGGCTGCTGTGACCACATCGCACAGGGACTACTTGCAATGCAGTGGTGCCCACGCTGTGTCACCCTATACCTTGGAAGGCATGCGGCTCATCAAGGTAGGTGCCATGAGGGCCCCTCTGGACCAGTCCTGGCTGGTGTTCTGTTCTCTTTATGATTGGCTTTCATTTTATCTTGAAAGGAAGCAAAATAGCTTCCATTTGCTGGCTTACTCCCCAGCCACCTGCAACTGCCAGGACTGGGCCAAGCTAGGCGCCACCCAGGTGGGTGACGAGGGTGCCCAATGTTTGAGACCATCATCTGCTGCCTCCCAGGGTGTGTCTTAGCAGCAAGCCTGATCGGAAGCCAGGCAGCCAAGGCTGAAACGGGGCACTGCAGTGGGAAATAGGGTGCTGTACCAAACACTTGCCCCTACACAAATATTCTGGAGGCATCACAGGACCTCCTGCCAGTCTAATGTGCATGTTAAAATATGTATGAGATATAGAATACAAAAATGTATTCACAAAGAAATGAGCTATTTAGGGGCCCAGCACAATCGCTCAGTAGCTAAATCCTTGCCTTGAATGCTCTGGAATCCCATATGGGCACCAATTCAGGTCCCAGCTGCCCCACTTCCCATCCAGCTTCCTGCTTGTGGCCTGGGAAAACAGCAGAGGATGGCCCCTGCACACATGTGGGCGACCTGGAGGAGGCTCTAGGCTCCTGGCTTTGGATCTCAGCACAGCTCTGGCCCTTACGGCTGCCTGGGGAGTGGATCAGCCGATAGATGATCTTCTCTGTATATCTGACTTTCTAATAAAAATCAAATCTTAATTTTTTTATTATTTGAAAGAGAGGAGAGGTAGAGAATCTTCCATCAGCTGGTCCATTTCCCAAGCATGCAATGGCTGGGGCTGGGCTGGTCTATAGCTAGGAGCTTCCTCCGGGTTTCCCATGTAGGTACAGAGACTCAAGTACTGTGCCATCTGCTACTGCTTGCCCCGACCACAAGCCGGGACCAAAATCGGAAGTGGAGCAGCAGCTCAAACCAGTGTCATGTGGATGCTGGTACTGCAGGCTGAGGCTTGCTACACCACAGTGCCAGTCCAGAAATGAGCTTTTTAAACAACATTTGCAGGAAATGGCTTCTAAGATAATAAATAGTCTTATTGCAACCTATATAGCATTTTCCTATATAAGATTTTAGGTTTTTGGCCCAGTGCAATGGCTCAATCACTAAATGCTCACCTTGCAAGCACCGAGATCCCAGATGGGCACTGGTTTGTGTCCGGACTGTTCTACTTGCCTTCCAGCTGCTTGCTTATGTTCTGGGAAAACAGTGGAGGGTGGCCCAAAGCTTTGGAATCTTGTACCCACATGGGAGATTTGGAGGAAGTTCCTGGCTTTGCGTCACCACGGCTCCAGCTGTTGTGGCCATTTGGGGAGCAAAACAGTGGATGGAAGATCTTTCTCTGTCTCTCCTTCTCTCCTTGAATCTGATCTGCCTTTCCAATAAAAATAAATTATTTTAAAATTTTCAACTTCAATTTTCTTTCCTGAGCCTTGAAACGAAGTGAAATATATAGCTAGTAGTCAAAAAAAAAAAAAAAAAAAAGATTGCATCACCTCAGTCAAGCTCCTCTTATCCCTAGCTCCTGGCATATGCCGACAGTTTCTCAAGAATAGCAGCTTGGTTTTTTGCTGTCATTTCATACAATCAAGACTATTAGTTCTGACTTTGCGTCTCAACCTCCCTCTCCACTTCTCCCACCACACCGCAGCAGAAGTCCTCAATCTCCCCAGGACAGGATTTGCATCTTGCCTTCATGTGGGCCCCAAGCCCTCAGTTCAGCGTCATCACACCGGGTGCTGCCTATACTTTTGGGACTGTAAAATGAGTGAATGCATCAATGAGGTAAAGGAGACAATTGGGTCGTTAGCAGAGAGTGACCTGTGTGCATCTGTGGCTCAAACCCCAGTCATGAGGACTTTGGCCAGGGACCTTACTCTGAGACCTGGAATTTGCAGGAGAGGGAAGAATCACATTCAAAACATTTGAATAGGTAAATAATGAATCAGCCTGTGATTGCAACCTCACTCTATATCCTTAGCGTGGCTGATACGTGACAGTAAGCCGAGCTGTGATCAAACCAGAGGGTCAAGAGCTTTGCTCCCAAACTTTCAGCTCCTCTTGAGGGCCAGCTTCATTTATAGTGTCTTCAGAGTTCTCAGAGGAGCTCATGAACTATGCAATGGTACTTTGTACTCGAGGGGGTCCTTGCTACAGGTAATAGCAAAGCTTACCACTCCTGAGTAGGTAAAGCAAATTGGGCCACTTCTCAGCCAGCATCACCAGAGAGAAGTACAGATGCCAGCCAACATGGGGCAAGGGAATGCCGAGCTCGTTTGTTCTTTGTGGAAGGACGATATACATGCAAACACTGCCACTGTGCAATACCCGGCTTTCTTCTATCCAGGCTTTTATTCTTCCCCCTGCAGGAGCTGGGGAAAGTGCCCATGTAACAGGGAGTGTTTTGCAGTGTTCATCTGCAGAACGTCTTCTGGTGAGGGCCCACTATAAGCACACCTAGCTTCCAGAATACTCAGGAGCCAGCAGTTCATGGATTTTCTTCGAAAAGGAGTCAACCGGGCCCGG